TTCACCTCCCTCCGGACACCTCACAATTTATGACGGCAAATTCTGACTGCACTGTTTTCCCTCCATTCTTCTTACAGAATTGCAAAAGTGCTTCAAATGGCTGCAAATATTCAACTCGCTCCAAGTTATTGTTGGTAATTTTGACTGCGTCTGTCCAATTTAAGTAGGCGGTATTAAACGATGTGTTGTGAGGAAAAGAGGACCTGTCCTCTGACCAAATTTCTACTTTCCATCGTAATAGCACAAAGCATTAAAGCCATCGGTAAGAAAAACTTGTTTACACGTAATCTTTGGTGGACACTTCTCACCGATTAAACGAGCCTCGCTTTAAACGAAAAGGAGCTAATCAAATGTAGCACACTTAGCCAAGCTGTCAATCTCTTATAATTTAGCCTCAAAAGTGAATCATTTATAAAAGAGTACCTTGAGAAGAGAAAGCGACTGTTCCCACAAAAAAATGGGATAATTTCTTGTGCAATTTTACCCAATGAGGTGGTGGAGAAGGCAGAAACAGCACCTCTCAACCACGAACTTCACTAATGCCAAAAAATTTGGATTCAACAAGGCAATACAGTTGAAAGAAGCCATCCTTAGGGAGATGCAACTGGAAAATAGTGGAGAAGCTCCAGTAATTTTCCTCCCGAGTGCATCTTCCTTGCACCACAAAGGCTTTAGCCGTTAGAAAGACGTCCTCACCCTGCAGGAAAGGGGCTGTGCTTGGAGGTGGCGCAACGACTAGGGCTACTCCTGTCGTACAATGAAATCCTTACTAGGAGGGTGTCTCGAAGGGTCAAAAACATTTTGTTACAATGTTTGTCAATGATAAAAAATAAAAGTATTGTGCAAGTCTTATTTGCTCAATCCTTCCAAATTTCCTTCTTAACAATGCCAACCACTGGATGGCAATCGCCTATTCATTTTATCAGCCTAAGGACTGTACCATTTTTCTGTAAAAGTCTTCCCCGAAAACCTCCTCTCACTCCTCCTTCCTCTGTTAGGAAAGTAAAATACATGTTGAGAGACAACAAAATTCGTTTTTATATTCCACTTAGAGAACATTCGGGGAAAGAAATGGTTACAATAGCTGGGCACGTCTCTGGAGGAAATTCTCGAAGTCGTTGTTAATTTATGCTAGTTGTTAAATGTTCCATACAAGCCTGAGGCGGAATTTCTATTCCGACACAGAACTGAAGGAGAAACAAGCGCCTCGGGCGGCGAATACCTCAGAGTCAGATCCGGCTGACAGGGTCAAGTGGCTCTAACTTCACTCTAGGTCAAGTTACCTCCCAGATTAAGGGATATTCTCTACCCCCGGGCTTCGTATTCTTTTCGTAAGAAGTACACAAAAACTTTCCTTCTAAGCCATCCTAAGGTCAGATGTTGACTTGTCAAAAAGTATTTCATGCTACTGTTTAGGTCATTAACTTGGATTGTACTCAGGAGTAAAGAAGATGCTTTAAAAATACCACCTTCCAGTCGCAAGTCATTTCAACATTTAATAAAACCTTCCACAAGTGCAGCGTTTGAGTTGATATCACCCGCAAACCAAATTTCTTTGATCACCTGAGAGGTGGCATTTTGGTGCCACCTTTCAAAAAGGTCAATCTTTAGACACCGCCACCCTTTAATGGATAGCAATGAAAAGCAATGCCATTTTGGAGAAAAGAAACAGAGGATTTCATCTACATTTACGCACGTAAACATGCGTTTATGACAATCGGGCACATTTCGGCAGTTGATTGTCAAAGATAGGGAGCGCATATGCGCATACCCTATTTGCCAACTTGTCAATCAGACATTTAATAGCAGCACAGCTTTTCGCGAGGCCTTGGTGGCAGGAGAAGACATAAATGAGCATCAAAACGTATAGCGTCTAGTAAAATTGTATGGATGTGATACGCAAAGCTCCAAACTAGTGGAAACCAAACCTCTTACCATCCTATAAAAAGAGCGTTTAAATATTATCGTATCAAAACTAAAAGAATACAAAGAGACTATTACCGATCTCATTACATCGATGTCATCCAGACGTCTATAAATATCCGTCACTTTGTCACCCACTTGGCATTGTCGAAGAACCCATTTCCCATCTGCGTCGTCTTTTTCCAAACTAATCACCGTCTTCACCTTTCTTCCATCCGGAGTGGTCTCCAGGAATGGCTCCTGTAATCGAAACTGCACCTCAGTGCTACGGAAAGTATTTATGTTCTTAAGGCAATATGTCTTGGGTTCGGCACCATCATTCACTTCGGTCAGCTTAATCATTGGCTTGGCGGCATTACCAGCTTTGCGGGTGAGGAAGTCAACGCCAAGACGAGCCATAACACGATCGAAACCCTCGCTCGAAGTCATTTTCCAAGTGCCTAAAAAGTCGTCCATCTCAAAGTTAAGTCAAAAGTGGCATGAGGAGTTGTATTTGGAATTGCGCAGACACATGGAAGCTTCCCATTGGGTAACGGCTAGCCAGCACTCTAATTGGTCCATTTGTGTGGGCAGTCAAGGTCATGACTTCCAGCATCTCGATTGGTCAATTTGTGTGGAAAGTCGAGGATGTGGCTCCAAGACTCCTACAGACGCTGTTATTGTTTTGACTTTAAAACATAGTAGAGCATTAGAAGTCACAAAGTCTTCAAATTTTTACTCCAAGCTCCGTTAAGAACATTTATTAGACCTTTTATGACTGCACCTCCATCAAGCAGTTTGAACTGTATTGTACAAAGTGACTGGCTGCTACCAACAATCCCTTGTTCCTTAACTTTCACTGTTTCAAACAACTGCGTAAGTTACATAAAGAGGTAGGATAACATTGAGTCCCATTAACATGCAGCAAAATTAGTTTTGTAAGAAACTTCCTTCTAAAACTTCACTAATACTTTATCCTCATCAAGCTACTAAAAGTTTCCTTCACTGACTATAACTTCTGTCAAAAAGCACTACTGGTGATGGCTTCATAATTTGACGTTTTAAGCAAGACATTGTATGCGATGAGCATTGGCTTGCTCCTTTAATTTATCTTCGAAGTAAATTTAGAAAGACAAGTTTTGTCACCCATTTACCCTGTTTCTTTCCTTCACCTCCAGCATTTAACCAACTGACTTCATTAATGCTATGACAATCCTTTATGCTAAAATGTGCTGTATGATGTTGCTTTGTTTAGGAAGCTATTGCTTATCCCCATTGAATACATCAACTGGAAAGGAATCGGGCGAGAAGTTTACGAGAGTTTCTGTGTTCTGTAGGCAAGCTTTCAACAAATTGCCTAACAGTGCCGTCGAATTTTCCCTAATAGCATCCGAATATGAACGTCCCCTTATACTTGGAACTGCGTATTATCCTGTTTCCCCAGTGTAGACGTAGACACAATTGATGTTCAACGAAAATTCTTCCTTTTGTTTTCTGTTGAAAGGCCGAATGTTACTGAAGGTCCAGTAGAAGCCTCCTATAAAGTCCCCTTCCTTAAAGTTTATAGAAACAAATGACTGACGCGGCTGGCTCGTAGCTGTTTTATTATCAGCACAGTACGCTGAAGTGTTTGGTGTGAGCATTGTATCGAGAGAAGAGTCGGAGACGTCACTCAAAAGGAAGGAGGGAGATTGTAATACTTTGCCTATTTAATAATGCGTACGATTAGCAGTCAAGTTGGCATTTAACCCCTCTTTTTGCCCTTAAGTTAGCCTTCGCTCTAGGCCATGGTCAACGTTTTCAGTTCCACTAAATGCCTTCTGTCTGGCAGGATGCCTCGGGACACCACAGGTCCAGTAGTAAATCAAAGTATCCTTTACTTCAAATGCACCAAATTGTATTTTTGGTGTTTGAATAACAACTTTGCCTCAGCGCACCTTGACTATCAAACGGAAGGCAACTGTAATTTTGGAGACGTAGTTGTAAAGCATACCCTTTGATGTGTCTCCTATGAACATCGTTTTTTACCCTCTCTCTCACTTTCCAACATGTGCCTACTTATATCATTTCAGCGGCTGCTCCACAGAATACAGGCTGATGCTTTGCAAACTCGGAGAGACAAGCCAAGTGTGCCGCATTTGGAGGTCGGTCGGGGAAGGACGCTGAATCATTCATTCCCAATTGATGTAGGAGCACAATAAGACCTCGCGCAAAGCCTCAGTAGTCTACTCCATCATGGCGGTCAAGCAGTGTAAGCATAAGGTGTCACTTCCAAGTTTATCCTCTCCACTGTAGTTAGACTTTGGTAGACCTAATTCTTTGTTAAAAAGAGGCTAATCTTTTATCCGACACTTTCTAAAAGCCTATAAAGGCAACCACAGTGGTTTTATTTCACCCTGCCGCCCTGAACGACTGAGAGGAACGACGCTTTCTGGCAAGGTGGGATCCCGTCACTTCGCAGCGCCGCTAGACATGATGCCGCGTAAGTTGTGCAATTACTTTACCACGTCTGTAAAAGAAATTATTTATCCACGACTTCAATGTCTGCATAAATAATTTGTTAAAAGGCAAGCCCAGTTTCATCTAAAAGAAAAAAAACGGTACCTCATGGGAATCCTCTCTAGTGAAGGCAGAGAATTAATTCTGTGTAAAAGCACTGCAACAAGTAAAGTAATGTTTAAAAGGATGAACAGAACTTTGGAAGGAGGAGAGAGAGAACAAAAAAAAATTCGCCTTTTCTGCCTCATCCCGTTTCATGGCCTGACTCGGCCTCGGATCGTGTCAATATTGAAGCGTCCCACCGTTTTGGCACGGTGGAGACGACCCAAAACGAAGTTCAAAAAGTCGATTAACTCAGCTAAATTTTTTAAAACTTTTGACTCACCTCATTCGCTCCAACCCTTTAACACCTTTACCTTCCTCCCCTGCCTCAAAAATCGCTTATTATCAAGACAAAAGCTGTCTTCTCTAATTGGGGTTCATTCATCGGCTATGCTCACCTGATGCTGAGGTTGCCAGCCATCTGTAGTTACCGTTCGAAGTAATGGTGCTATGCGCATTTTTGTAGCCAGTCTTCTACATTTTCCCATCAATCCCAAAGTAATGGAGTTCTATCAAAGTTGCTTAAGGATGGATGGGAGAGAAAGAAGGTGGAATGAAGTAATTTTGTCCAACTTTGAGGTAAGCGATTTCGATCAGCATCAAGTTTAGCCTTTTTACCAGTGAACTTAAGAGGAGGATGGTCTGCAATCCACGATGAAGGAGCTCACAAGACCAGTTGACATATGACATGAGTTGCACGCCTTTTCAAGGTGCATTTGACAGGAGGCGAGCAAATCACCAAATGGAATGACGCAGCCAGACGTCTCACGTACGACGGAAGACTTTCGCCAAATGCAATGCGACTAATTCAATGGCAGTAGAAGGGATGGAAATTTCAGCCAAGAAGTCATCCATAAAGGCTATTTTGTGTTGATTTTTTTGCAATAAAACCGTACTTGGAGTTGTGCTGTTAAACTGGATTTTTCTGTAAGCACGAAACTATCCCTTGAATAGGATGGCATTTCGCGTCTGATTTTCAGACCGTTCAATTCAACAAGAGCAGCCAGAAATCGCTGGACAGAGGTCGGTACAGGAATCCTATTCTGCGTGGAAATGTAGTCGTAATTTTTTAGTTTACATCTCGCTCGTGGTCGACTACCTCGGGAAGAAGTCGAGTTGAGACTACTCGTAGGCTCTTGTAACTGCTTTCAAACAGTTTAACCCTGTTTTTATTCAACTGTGAGCAGAAATTAAGTAGGAGAGGAGAAGGAGGAGGAAGAAGAAAAGACCAGCTGCTACAAATCCTGTTTCCATCTCACTTTGGTGATTTTAGTTTGGGAGCCTGAAGTTGCTTTTTTTTTGACACCAAAATTAAAGCATTTTTCTGGAGCAACTTAAAATCAAGCATCATTATTTAGAGGACAATCGACTGCACCTGATTGGAAGGCTCAGTCTACCATAAAATGTTTACTCTCCTTTTTAAGGTCCAATTTTATCATTTCTTCTGCCTTGAGGCGTCTCAACCTTCAATCCAAACCGCCCTCTACTGTTAGTCACCAACCCTGTGGGCCGTTTTTAATGGCCAAATGTAGTGACAGTTGCGTTTCGGAGAGATGTGACGGGAACAGAGGTGAGTGGAGGTGCGGTAACCTTAATTCTACAACAATTTTAAAGAGTGGATCGCTTAAAGGCGACCAATGGGAGGTTTGCTGGCTCCACAAAAGTCAGTGCTCAAATTGTTCCACTACTACGGATTTTCGTATCCCTTGGACTCACATCAAGGCGTTCCATCTAGCCTACGAACCGAAAAATTTGTTTGTTTGTTTGTTTTATCTATTAGTCACCTACTTAAATGTCATCAGCATTTTAATGGTGTTTCAGAGGTGCTAATTATCTTGTCAGACAGTCTGACAAGTTGACAAGTAATTTAATAGAAAACAGGCGGTAAGTATCAATGCTACTGCAGTTTTGCAGGTGATTGTGACTGTTAGTGGCCTTTTGGTTTATTTTCAATCCTCCTGACCTTCCAATTCTCCTTACTCCCAAAGTGCGCCAAAATCATCCATAAAAATGGTCAAAATCTTGTCAACCTACAATTTTTAAAATCGAAATTGTAGAATGACAATATGTTTTCCTTCCTTCCTTTCTTACAAATTGCAGCTAGGCAACTTTTTGAAGGCTCTGTCACTTAAATCACAAGTGCGGCAGTCATTAGGGCAGTTATTTTTTTCAGGGCTACTCCGCTTGTCACGAGAATAACAATCTTCGCCCTCTCCACCAACCTCCTCAAAGGCATTGGGGGAAGTAACTTTTCGTCATTAATGCAGCAATTAAGTTGGGATAAGAGACGTCAAAAATCCAGTCCCCTCGGTGGTGTTTACCGTGCATAATGAAATTATGGGCTAACGTCCAGCATCACTGGGGAGGGAGAGTTGAAGCGGAAGCCAAACAAATGGGTCCGAGCTCTACACCCAGCAGTGATAACAGATGGACGATTATTTGTTTGTTCTCCACTCAAATTATTATTGCCAAAGGTCCAGTGAGCTAAAAATGCCATTGGTTGTTCCTTGATGGATCCTCTCAAGGATTGCTGCAGGCTTTCAGGGCATTGAAAGACCCAGCTCTGAGTTCGTCCACTAGCAAACCAATTTGACAGGCGGTCTGCAACTCACGCCCCACCTTATGTTGGGTAGGAATGAGGACAGACAGCACCGCTTTAATGTCCTTTTTCGACAATCAAGGCGCAAGAGCAAGGTAGACAAGGACGTGTTGTTTACGTCTAACAATAAAGCACAGTAAACACGATCGTGTCTTGTTGCACATGGCTGCCCCTTCGACGATTAACTTAACTGTGACAGCCCTGTTCGGTGTTGGTATGACTTGAGACCTCAAAAATTGATGCAATCTTGACCAAGTGAAGAAGGATAAATTCACTATGATGGAGGTCACTAATAACATATTTAAGTAGTAGTAGTGGAATGGATTCCCTGAGGTAAACATTGTTTAAAGGTTGCAGGCCAAATGCACAAACAGGCAAACTGCGAACTCAAAGCCCCTAAGGCAAGCAAGAGGAATTGCTGCTAACAAATCCCCGCAAAAATAAAAAGAAACCCATCAGAGTAAGCCTTTTAAAAGTGTCTTTGATGTGTGCTTTGGAGGTTGCTAACAAAATCGCCAGGTACTGCTCTAGCAAGCACAATGGATAAAAGGAGGGTGACTTTTGGGCATTAAAAATGTAAGTCAGTAGAGGTATTCCACCTGATCTGCACAAGAAGATGCAAGGCTCTATGCCCCAATCCTTACCCCACCACGGAACAAAAGAAAATAATGTAGGGAGGAGCTCTTGCACCAAACAATTCCAAGTGCGGAAAGTGAACTCGAATGTCAAGGAATGAAGCACGGATCGGAGTTGGATGCTTGCCTGTACCAATGAGGGGCAGTATCTGCACCCCGCTTCAACCGAAAGTTCAAAATAAAGGGAGTGTGACTGCTATGCAGGTTAAGTGGGTACATAATTTGGCCCATTTCGAGCAGTAAATAGACTTTACAGGCAAAATGGAAGGTGTTGCGTCTTGTCGTGTGTGAAAAATTAGGCAGTATTCAACTTTCTGTCCTCTGTGTTTGCCAAATCGACTGTTTTAATGCCCTCCCTTAGCTTCCTTCTTATTGAATGCTATGCCTGAATGCATGTGTATGTATTTTAAGAGCGCAAGGCAGTCTGAAAACGGCAAAGAGGCACATTTGGCACCCTTTTATGAATGCCTTTCAAAGCAGCGTAATTTCCCTACCTCAGAACGTGGGTACGATTATCGCTCCTATTCAGACCAAAATATTCCAATAAAAGTCAGTAGACAGATAGTTTTGTAGAAATGTGCCGATAATTTTTATAAGCCTTTTGCAAAAATCTCCGAAGTCATGCGACTTCGTCATTAACGCTCTGACTAAAAAGTCCTGTGCCTTGAGGGAGTCAGAAGGAAGTAGGATGCGATCCAGTCCTCAGCAGAAGAAACACTAACACACACTCGAGCTCTATGCATTAGTTCTTTTTGTTCAGACCTTCTATTTATTACGTACTAGATGCAAAACTTTGGTTTAAGCTCACTCTGATTGTCTTTACTGCCTACTTATTTATTAATCAGTAGGACGGGCGGCTAATAACAGGGAGAGCAATAATGTCGCCCATTCATAAGAAGGTTTAGGTAGAATTGCATTAACCCATGATTTATGTGTTTTTGAGCTATGCACTCACAATTTAAAATGTGTACTGTTTTATTTGTCCCATCTACGTCATGATTAGTAGGAAGGTGGGCCCTAATTTTGTTTTGTCTGCTAGGATAACATGAAATTCCTCGAAGAAAGGAGTGGCCGAATTTGATAACTTTGAAATCAGCTGTCCATAGGGGTGAAGGAGGTGAGTAAAATGGGAGAATAAGTATGGGACTAGCCAAGATGCTTTTTACTAGGCATGGATTTGGTTAACTATCTCGATCCACCAATGGATTGCGATGGATCTGCTCCGAATGGGCAGCTTTTTGATGGTGCTTTCTTCTCCTAAATCAGGTTGTTCGAAATCCCACATAACCATGTTTGCAGTGTTTTTCGTATCCGCATGGATAATGCGTGAGTTAATAGTGATATTTCTGAGACTTTTTATGACAAACCGATATGGACGAACTTGGTTGCCCAAATTATCTCCATGACGTACTTTGAGCCTATCAGCACACGTCTCCTTCTCATTACATCGCATGTATAAATTCGTAATTCAAGCTTTATTTGCCAACCAAAAGACAACTTGACAGAGGCACAACCTTGACAGGTTTTGCGTATCCTCTTGACAAAGGGACCCTTATGAAGGAAGTTATGACCGCTTGTAAATCGGCATACAAAATACGGAATTCTGACTCACTCAGTCTCTCCTCACTAGTCCAAACGCCTAAGCACCCTATTAAAAGTCTAAATAAGCATAAAAAACTTTACTGAAAAGAGCAAACTTTGTTTTTAAAAGAGGAGGAAGCTGCTTTACCTCATTAATTCCTCAGAGGTGACTAAAAAGGTGAGATTTTCAGGAGCCGACATCCTCACAAAGCGATCTCTACGATGGCGGAGATAAATGCTTTGCCTTTGTTCAATTTCTCAAAGTAGTTGTTGTTGTTGCTGTTGAGAAACGGTCACAATCTGATGTTCTTTGTCAATGAGTCACAATGAAAGAACACGTGTCACTGTTCCTTTGTGTGAGCCTGGTTCAGCTGTGTGGAAGGCTCCACGTCGAGAGGAACTTGAAACTGGTCGTCCGGCTGTTAAACTGTGCAATTAAGGGCGCAAAATGTCCCCCTCCTCCATTAAGAACTTTTCACTTAAATGCAGGGCTTTAATCAGTCACTTTCCCCCAATACAGTCGAAAATTTTGCTCCTCAGTTGGCCTCAAAGTTGACAGATACCAAATCAAGTTGACACATTCGTTGAGGGTGTTGCATCACATACGCCTCAACTATGGAGGCTTTTCTCTACCGCAATGGTATTCTGTCAAGAAAGGTGGATAAAGCAGACAGTAGATTTGGTCATGTCGAGCTCTTAAACACAAAATTTTACTGATTTTCTTAGCTAATCTACAACTCACAATTACCTTTTTTAATTCCAGCCACTTCTGGCCGTAAGTTCTCTCTTCTCCCAACCATCCGTTCTGCTTTGCAAGCAGTTTTCTAATGGTAAGACCGAGAGAGCACAGAATGCTTTTCAAGCGTGTAGAAATCTCACCAAGATAGAGAATTACGATGAAAATGAGAATGGTGCATTGCGCATCATCCCATTCGGGGCTTTCTTTAGGCATTTAAGTTCGGTGATGATTCAGCGTGAGGCATGAAATAACCTTTTCATCACTAGATGGCATCTTATGGGTCCTTTATTTCCCCCACAGAGTGATGAGCGGGTCACTTGGAGACAGCTAACAACAGCTTTGCTACCAAAGTTGCATTTTGGTGGACATGAGCCCTCCTGTCCGTCCCTCCAACCGGAGCACAGGAGAGCACATGGCATCGGGATGGGTGATTGACTGCGTGAATGTGATGCAACTGATTAAACAATTTGTAACTCAACAAGTGTTATTTGACCTAAAAATATTTATTCAGAAGAACAACTTCTAACATTTGCAAAGGCCGCGCTTTTTACTGAGACTGCAAGGCAAGGCTTTGATGGACAAGAGCCAACAGTTAAGCGTCTTTAGTGCTCAATTTCTTACATCGACGAGCAGCAGAATTTAAATAAGAAAGCAATGTCAGTAGAAAGCACCACAACGTTCTCCTCACATCTAGTCCACTTGTAGCCGCCCTGATGCTCTCGCGCTGAGGTTGCGTTGGACGTGTTGTGGGGCCTCCAAGGCCTTTGCCATTTGTAGATGATAAGCTCTGCGTTTTAACATAGATGCTCAGGAAATTTTCTCAAAAATACAACCAGCTTAATCACAATAGTCAATGTGGTTAACTTCGACTCGTCAATCGAGTTATTTTTTAATTGACAAAGGCAGAGGCAAGCGAAGGAATGCATAGCAAAGGTTTATCCCATGCAGTAGCTCCAAGTCCGATGGTGACGACACTTGAATCTCTCGTCGGGGCATGAGACAAACTTGTTTTATGGCTTTTGCCTTGTGATGACAGAAATCCGCATTCTTTGTTAAGGGTGGCTTGTGAGTAGGAGCCGAGACTTCAGTATGAAGGCATTGGCAACAGAAAAGAAGAACCTTTGGTTTGTGGATTAGAAGCAAACAATTATCTTGGCTTTGTGCTTCTAATAACGGACAAAACTTCACACTCGTAAGAAGCCCTACCAAGAGGGGAATGTGGAAGTGTCACGTCGCCTACACCGGTCGCAGCATTGACGCACTTTGTCTCTTTTAAAGGCGGCACAAATTTCAAGGAGTGGATCGCGGTGGGAAAATTCGATTTGGATCCGCGACGCCCTCGTCACTCTCTTCCCCTCCCTTCTTAATAGACTGCTCACCAGTCTGCAGTCTTTCTGAAAAAAAAAAAACTTTTATGCCTGACTCACCGACCCAGGATTCTCGCCTTTTCCCTCTAGTCTGACTTAAATTAATTTCATGCCGCCAGTCTACAAGGCCTAGTAAAACAGCTCATTAAGACATCCACCGCAATACAATTTACTGCTCCTCCTCACGGTAGGAATTCGCTGACAACTAAGAAGCTACAGCTACTAAGTAACCCCGAAGGCACCAACCTCCTACCCTTTAATTGAGACCGAATTCGTACTGGAAAATTTCGCTATCCTCCCACTGGCTAGACATTTGTCGTGACTAACTGCGAAGTGTAGTGTTTTCAAGAACTCTTGAAACAAAGCTGTGGAGGAAGGTAGCGCTCTAAATGACCGCATTCGTTGACCTAACTTGAAATTCAAGCATCATGGGATCGCTCGTGATACTTGTATGTGATTTTCGCCAGCTCAGTCGACTGCCTCCTCTCCTTCCTGACAGCTGTGGAAAAAGACATTATGATGGCCTTAAAATGTCCATTCAACAAGGATCATTAAAATTGGAGACATTAAAAGTTTAAGTTGTCGCATTCCGCTGTCCCATAAACCACTCATGGAAGTGGTTTTTAATCTTCGCGCCACCAGTTTCAACATCAACAATGTCTATTCCTTCAGTAATCTTGTTAGGGATCCAGTTCTCTTGAGATATAGTCAGTCTGGAGTCTGAGGTCACCGTAGTTCCCGCTTCCAGGGTTTGCAGCGCGCTTATGCTATGGCTAGCAGCCGCGATGGACTCACCCGGAAACAGATATTTCAATTCCCTGCGTAGGATAATTCGATTAGCAGGGAGACCAGTGAAGTTTGTTTTGTAGAAGTCGAGGTAGGAGGACTGAGAAATGAGGAAGGCGGTGAGACGTGTCAGTGAATCAACAGGAACAGATTCACTTGTGAATCGGAATGTTGAAAGCTCGTCTAAAAAACAAAAATTCTCAAAAAGATGTTGAGTGTTTGGCGACTTTAATGAGGCGTTTGTATTGGTCATCTTACTTACAATCATCTGATTTTTGGCCTATGATAAAGAAAGGGACGCTTCAACACCAACTTTGTCCGTTCAGTAATGAGTGTCATCGTGACAGCACTCAAAGGTGTCCACATATGTGGTCTGGCCTCCACTCACCGTCCGTCAAGTCGACGGACAGTAGGTGGCGGTGGTGAGGAATAATGGTATTTGGTGGTAATGACGGTGGCCTGTAAACAACGGCACGGAGGGTGCCTTTTAGTTCATGTAAATCTGTCAATCGGTAAGGCAGACTCATCGCAGTTGCTGACAGTCACCGTACACCATTGATGAAATAGCTTCCAGCTCACACTTTCTTTAGGCTTTTTGTCTAATCCTAGACTCTTATAGCCTCCTTACGGAGTTGGACAAAGTACTAACCTTTCTGTACTAGCATTACATTACTTATTCGAGAAACCGACGTTCACTAAACACAACGATAATGCAGGGTGGTTTGGACCAATAAAGTGGTACCAATGAGGTTTTTACCTCGATCAAACTTCAAAAAAATACACAAATGCAAAAGTAAAGTTTGTCAAAAGCCACGAGCCAGTTCCAAAGAATCCATGCGTTTCTTGAATCAGCTCTCCTTTTAGCCTGGCTGCGTTACCCTTCTCCACTTATTCAAAGATGATGTGGCCATGCACACTGTTTCCCAACCTTTTTCAACTAAATATTTGTGTGGTCTCAACAGTCAAAATGAAAATAGAGTTGATCGGTATTACTTACCAAATACGATGTTTCTCCAAGGATCATACTAAAATGTTACATAAGTAGTATGGTAACAAATTTTATGGACACGTATCGAAATTTACATATGCCTCGACGAAATTCTTGATTGATGTGCAAATGCGATGTAATGCAAAAGTATAGCACAATAGAGCTTATGACTGCCTCCTTCCACCCTTTTCAACTTGCTCGCCGTCTCACACAGGCAAAAGGCTTAAACGTTCAAAGTCGTCCTTTGCAAGCAACTAGTAGGTGAAAGGACATCCTTAATTTCTCACTCTGGCAATACTTGCAGCTTGTAAATGCGTTTATTAGCACGACAAGAGTAACTCCACACCTCTGTATGTTACTGTTGTGTACTAAGCCCTATCACATCGAAGAATTGCAAATTTAGCCTCGAAAATATCGCGTTGATGGTAGCAGCAAACAGCACCAAGTCAGCAGAAAATAATTTTAATCCTGTGGATCAAAATGCTACAGCTAATAACGGTGATGCAAGGTAAGCGAAGGAGGATTACTGATGTTGTAAAAGCCTTTTTTTAGCCTTATGTCGTTCTTTAGTACCCATTCAAAATCACACTATCAGATCATTTGTAGTATCCATTATGGTAGTATAAGCGAATAGACAAGTTGAATCTCCTAAATGACCCTGTTAACTCAGCTAAAATTCGGATATTTCACTTTTTGGCTCATACAGAGTTATTCAACTTATACATCCGAATTTGCATGCATCTTAGTGTAAGGCTGGGTTACCACTCTCCTTGTCCCCTCTTCCAATCGTTCAGCATTAAGCCCAAAGGATACCTGTAGTATCAAATGCCAATTAAGTTCCATGCAAACAAACGCTATAGAGACTGCCCTGCCACTATTTCTCCTGCAGTCAGTCGACAAGGCCAGGTTTGAGTGGGGATCTCGAGAGTACACGTAACAGTTGATTACATCTTTCCCTTCGATACATTTAGTTCCGATAAAACGTGTTAGGAGTGTCGTGGATGACCCCTTGTACACCAACATCATAAAGGCATAGAAGTTGCATTATTAGCTTATGGCAACTGAAATAAATAGCGCTACTTTACCAATCAAAAATTTTAGGATTCCCTTAAGCTAGCAAGACTTACGTCAAGGATATTGTCTTCCACTGTATTTGACAGTATTCCCATGAAACGATCTCTCTAAAAAACGGAAGAGCAACAAAGTTCAAAAGGTATTTAAATTGCCCATCTTGCAAAGTGATCAACTTACGGGGATGTTAATTTCGGCAAACACTAATCGAAACCGCAAGCCTTCAGTGCTCTCTGAGTGTCGATTCGTCAACAAGAAGACAACCGTGTAAAAGTAACTCTAATACAGTAGTATAGTTGTTATACTTTGCTACTTACAAATAATAAGTAAAAATGTTTTGCAACTGCTCACATGTAATCTTACATCGTCCGACACTTGGAACCTGGCCATGGGCATTATCAAATCCTCAATTTGTATTTCACTACCGCATGGTCGCAAATCCTCGGTGATGTAGAGTCGTGGGCACTTGCAAGGTTCCACCCAATCGATGCAACATCGCTGGGCGTGGTAGATGCTTCTGGTAGAGGGGATAATTGACCCGACCACAAGTAGTGTTAGGAAGAACATCTTCGATAAGTCAAATCCAGTATGAATTGATCTGTTTATGCATCTAAAAATGTTGCCATTTTAAATCGATTTTTTTAAATCGCTGCTAAAATTGCAAGCATTTTGGCCGGTTAAGAAGGTGTATGCAGATTTTTTTCGGTTTTCAGGCCTTCCCACCGTATGCACAATTTTATTAAAGCTACGCTTTATCTATTTAAGTCCTTTAGAGCAGAAAAAGAGTGGGATCTTGAAGTAAGACTAAGGAGAACTGAAAAAGAATCGCGTTTGTTCATGTTGGTTATGTGGGCAGGTAATCACTGCATTAAAATTATGTGTCAATTGACTAGCTCCCATTCCGGGATAAAGCTCGGTGGAAAACTAATTCCAGAGTAGTCCAAATAATTTGTGGGGTTGGGGGAAAATATTTTTACTTCTTAGTGCTTGTATGAAAGCGACCGCCTTTTCCGGTTATGCAGGCTTGATTATCATCAAACTTCTGTTCCTTCCTCTCACTCTTCTGCCAAACTCTTGTTTAAGCAGATTTCTTCATCTTCATGGGGTAAGAAGTCTCCCCTCTTGTCATACTACTGTGATAGCCTAAACAACAGACATGAACAAACTCATCAACAATTCATTAGTAGGTTAGGGGCGTTTTGAAAAAATGAAGCCCGTTTCATAATAATATACTACTTATCTGTGCCAGAATTTTAGCTTTCAAGATGAGTAATCCAAAGAGGCATGAAATTTGCCTTTCCCTGTCCACTTTCCACTTGTCTGCGTTACCTCCGCCACCCTCCGCATCACCTGTTCGTTCTGCCATTTTTAAAGCGTCAAGTCCAGTTAATAATTTACGGGGGTTTGAAATCGGGCCAACTTTTGGCTGTTCTCGCGACATTCAACACAGCTTACTGCTGACCTGATTGTTATGGGACGGATGAGTCATCGTGGCCGATGACTCAGAGGCGGTGGCACAACATGTCTACCCGGCCCCATTAGTCATTGGCCTCTGTGTGTATGCACAAAAAGAGGAGGGGGATTCTTTAAATTTTCTTTCTTTTACCCTCTTCGTTATCATTACAAAGGGAAAGCTAGGAGTTGTGTAGCTACGGTTACCTTTTATTGTGATTACAAGTTTTGGATCTTACTAAGGTGCAAGTAGTTTCTAAAGTTGCTACCCTTTTGGTTTACTTTTTTAATTAATCACCCGGGTGCAGAACTTGTTTACAAAATCATTAAGCGGTGTTGTTATTTGACCTAATAAACCGACTGCAAAATCGTTCCTCTCTAGGTGAAGAAGGATGTTCATCCTTGGTTTGTGATTGGTTGGGGTGTTATCCATTGCTTATTGGCCAGCAGCTTTGATTGGTCATTGGATATTCAAATGCCTGGCTAAAATTAGTACTTAAAGGAAGCAGGCCTGTCAAGTTTGTAAATTCTGTCATATTATGCACTTTGACATTTACTCGTTGACGCAACAACCATTAAGATATGGGGATTTCTCTTCTTGACGAATTACAGTGCATCATGCACTCAGCTAAAAGCCGTACCCCGAAATGTTAAATAAGTATTTAGAAAGGTATCCAATTAATTATCAAAAGACAGTCAATGTTTGAAAATGAGCTATTTGCACCACTCGTCTTCGCAACCTGCAGTGCTATGAGAAATCATGAGGTTAGATGAGATAATGTAGTCTTGAATAGATGGTCCTTGTGATTTTTAAGAACTATCTATACCCCTTTGTTGTTCAAGACATCGAATGGTTGGTTATAGAACTTCAGTGCGTTTTCCGAAGTCATATAAGTGTGGGAGAAGAAAACGTGGAAGAAGGGGTAATATCCTGTAGACACGTTCATAGGAGTAGCCCGCTGGAGGGAAATGCAAACGATGGCAACCTGTTAATGAGTCAACACAAAACCTTGAGAAAAGGGGAAATGACTGTTGGTTTAAGAAATTTTATGCATTGGTCTTTCAAAGCATTGGCTTAAGGTAACTAAGCAATTCTGTTCTCTCAACGGCATTTTAACCTTGTACAGTGTAATGACTTTATTATGCGATTTTTTCCTTACAAAGTATAGGAAGAAGCAGTGGATCATCCGTTCTCTGTCCTCTTAATTTCCACGAGTCCAGAAGTTCTTGGGAATGCTCTCATTTTCCTGAATGGGTGAGCATGGTGGTGTGATGACACGAGGCAGCTGATTGAGGTCATTCGGTCCCTTGAGGTGGGAGCTGAACACCCTCTCATCCTAAGCATATGATTGGCAACGCATTTCACTTTTGTCAAAAGGGGTGCCTTGAGGGGTTCGGATTAGGGCAGTCAAGCCTTAGTCACCCCCAATTCTGCCCCACCCCCAATTCCCAACTGTCTACTTTATGTGACATATCATCGTATGATCGTCTGATGTTAATGTCAAGACGGTGTGATAAACATGTGGAGATTGAAGGCCCCATCACCAAATTCAGAAAAGCCAAATAAGTGTGTATTTGCAAAGAAAGTGAAGAGGTGAATGGTTTAGATTAGTCCTCAATCTGCACTTCAATTTGAACTAATAGTGATGATAAGGTCAAGGTCATGACACCACTAATCCAGTCGACAGGTCGGTGCTATCACACTACACCTATACCGTACCCTTCGTGCTGAAGTCTTGCGCCTTGGTTACACTATCTGAAATCCTAATACCATCCAACATGCCTCTGGATAAATACGGTGAAAATGAAGAGCTTTGTTGTTCTCCAAATACCATCAGAAGATGAAGTGTAAGGTCAGGAGATGGCCTGAAGTCAAGGCGGGTGACGCAACACACACACACACACACCTCTCCTTCACTATCCAAAACAACTGCACAGCTAAATAAACCATATTCTATCGAGAATGACTTTATGTCTCATAAGTGTGTTGTGATACGTGTGTAGTGGGAACAGGGAGGTTAGTCCTTGCCTCAGGTAACTCGGAGTGGAAATAATTCAACCTTCTCAGGACTGGAGTTCTAATTTACAGGAGAGAATGGAGAAATGAGGCAGATTGAAGATCATGCAGTTGATTTAGGAGGAGCTATCGTCTGCCACATTTTCAATGCTCCACTCATTTGGAGAGGCCACCAATTCACATGGTGGAAGCGGGGACAGTGATCGCTGTCATAGCCACAGCTCGGCGAGGAGTTGTTAAAATGAAAGAGCACAGTCCAGAGTGCTGCATCAAGGGTCTAAAATGCACAAATGTTGGAATTTATCTTACAGGCTGTTGGAAGTTGATGCAAGTTGTTGCAACTTGGCATTACCAAAGCTTCAAAGGTGAGAGCCCGCACAACTTGTTTTGTTGAGCTTCATATCATTTGCTCCCTTTCTGAAGGTGTTAAAACAGTTGAGTATCAGAGAATCCACTGGAAAAGCACATTTCAAGCCCCCTCTAGCCAACCTTTTTGTCACACACCACACGCAATACTTACGAGGGAGGCATTCTTTCCTCCCTCCCTCATGACTGCGCGCCTTCAAAGTGGAGGTGTGATGATGGACAATTTGAAGACCTTCCTGTGTGTTCTACACCCTTTGGCTCCCTGAATTATCCCCCCCCCCCAATGTGTGCTTTTTTTTAGCCCGTTCGGCAAAGGATTCGACTGACGCCTTTTTGTGGAGTCGGAGTGATTCAAGAAGTTGGGCGAGTTTTCAATGCATGGAGGGCATTAAAAGAGACGATAAAGGCTGAGTCAGAAACGGTGATGCGAAAAAAACTACATTTCTCAACGAAATGACTGCACCGCAAGATAAAAATCAACACACTTGCTTACTTGTGGGTATATTAGAGGGGAGGAGAGAAGGAAGAGGAAGAAAGGCGGGATGTCACCTGTCAGACAACTTCTCCCTTTGGTTTACAAAGGCGCTTTTTGACATATCTTTGTGAAATTTCCATGCTAGAAGGAGAAGAAAAAAGTTGATGAATTTGGAGGTTTTAGAGTTATGCTATGATTTTGTTGGCATTGCTGGGTGGTGTTATTGATGGCTTATTCAATGACAAGTTGACTTTCTGACACCTCTGAACCATAAACAAGACACAAATTCCTTTGCAAATCCTACAATAGGCAGTCTGATGCTGATAAAATAATATTTTATGAATAGCACTTTTAAATTTAAGTGAAAACTGTGAACTCAGACTGCCGTGTTTGATGAATGGACCCTCTGCTCTGCCTTGGACGGCTGATTACAGTCCAGGAGGGCAACAAAGAAAGACTCTAGTTTTTTGAGACCTGCAGGCACCAGCCCCTTGATGCGAGGTTTTACGCCTCTTCTAACCGCGTATTTCCTGAGTCGGTAGTCACTACTTCCAGCAAACGCCAGCTTTTATATTGTATTCAATGGCAATATTCACCAAAATGTCTCCCGCACAGTTTCGCTATCCTACAGCCTTACATTTGTGATTAGTTGTGATGTGTTTCTGGTGCAGAAGGGCTGTTATTTGGTGCTTTGAGGAGTGGCACCTCATCGGATTAACCCTTACTTTTTGCCTGCCATAGCAGTTGGCTGGTTACCATCAAATTCAAAGCCGAATTTAGGCAACGCTTAAATATCTGCACCACTCAAACGCCCCGATGCCGCTACCTCCTCCCTTTGAAGTCCTCGGTAGATGGGGACAAATATTTTACCAGCTTTTCACAACCATCTGTTGTCGCTTACCTGCACCTGCATCACAGTTAACAGATTTCATAAGGATTAAAAAACATGCAGCGCTTTCAAAATTGCCACTGGTATGGCAGGCATTCTGCCGAGCTCCCCTCCACGAAACTGCAGCCGCCTTGGTAACCAGTGCAGAGGTCACTGCCGCGGTGCCATGAAAGGAAAAAAATGTTCTTTCTAATGCGTGCAATGCTGTATCGTTAGCATTGTTGTGGGATGCTTAAAAAATTGTCCAAATCTTTTGAAACAAATACTCTAAGCGAGGTGAAACTATGGCGACACACAAGAGGGTAATCAAGCTTAGTGTAAATAGTAGCACCTGCCTCAGATGCTTGCTGACGGGCGTTGCCTCCATGCCGCTCAACACGGTGAAAGTGATTAATCTGTCAAACTGAACGATTACCTGCCAGTGATGAGTTTGAAAACGAAGACAAGCCAAATAAAAAGTGTGGTGAGGGTTGGGTAATGGGAGACTTTTTCTATTTTTACAACTATCCTGGAGATCTGCTTCATTTTCGTCTTGAGAACATCGGATCCAGCCGATGTGGTAGAGTGTCCAAGCGTGTGAAATTGCGATAACAAAAACAGATTGACGGCAGATGTGAGGTAATGAGAGGTGTGCTAAGTCCAGTTCTGGTCCGCTTCGAGCCTCTGGACTCCGATGTGGATCCATAAGTGAGCAGACACATGTCAGATCCACGAAAGTCAGTGAACAATCATTGGTGGCGCAATTGGGAGACCGAAGAGAGGTCTGAAGTGAAGGCGAAGTAGATTGCCGTCTCATTGACATCACACATGCCATTAACCGGCATTCCAGTCGGAGACCAAACACCTCTCATTTGACGTGAGAATCTACCGATTTTTACACAATAGTATCCCTCGCTAAATGTCTGGGAGGAGAAAAGTGTGGAGATGATATGAGAAACGCATCGAAGGAGATGGGGTGCAGAGAAACAAGTTAAGGAGAAGGAATCACTGGCAAGCTCAAGTTCTGTAAGCCTCTCTCTGCATTCCGATCATTAAATTTGGAACCTTTGTAGAAGACTGCAACCCTCTCTGTAATTTCAATAGGCGTGGAAAGGAAAAGATACCAACCACCACGTATCCCCTTATGTCAATGTAATCAACTAAGTGGATATGTTACCAGTAGTATAGCATTCTAACAACCGGTCAGCCTCGAATGGTAATGCCCTACAGTTCGCGATATGGGCACCATCAAAGAGTGACCTACACCTAAAATTCAAATGAATGGAGCCACATGGATCCAAATCGAATCAGTATCTCAGAGCCTTTGAGGATAGCGCCGCATCTTTTTGCAGATGAATCTATTTAGTCATGTCATTTTTGCACGTGTTTTTCCATACTAGTTAAGCGTAGTACTCTTCACATCGCCCTTCACGCAGCCGATGTCAGCACTTGCCATGTCGACCCAAAAATTTGCCTTGTGAATTGACAATCCATCTTACTTTTTATATTGTCATTTTGGATCATTCCTGCATTAATAGAATGAAGTGATGAATTTTTTAAAAGCCCACAGCATTCCTGAGCATGTTTGATCATTTCTTACCGTGAGTAATTTCCGAGAGCCAATAGAAATGAAGGTGCTCAACCAATCAAATTTAAGCAACCAATGCACTTGATACTATTACATCTTAAAAAGATATTACTAGCCTCGCAAGTACCATTGGATATGACGTCAAAAATACGCATCGATTTACAATTTGACAACCACAGAAGCGTTTTTTCTGAACCAAAACTTTAGTTACTAGACTCTGAGACAACTCTAGAGGCGCCACTTAGTACTTATCTTTTGGTGAAGCTATTTTGGCGTCCTCTTCACGCCCCCACTATAGATGAGTAATTAACCGCTATCAGACCGTCGAGAACGATGATTTGATTCTAAAATAATTTGGCAATGTAGCATCTAGTAAGTACGCTGAGTCTACCACTGCTATGGCTCCACATTTGACACGAAGTGGGAAGAAACTTTGTTAAGCCATAAAAGATGGAGCGTTGGAATGACAAATAAGCCACGTTGCAGTGTTATTCCCTTCCCACCAATTTTCTCACCTAATCCCTTAGCCTTTATCATATTTTTAGGGTCGGTCCCAACTCTTCCAATCATTACACCTCTGTAATAGCGATTGTGGCGATAGCTGGGTTAATGGAAAGCACCTGCAAGATAGGAACGAAAAGGCTGTGATAAGCCAGTACCAAATTGGTGGCGCTCTCGAGTTCAATCCTTGTGGTAGTGGCGGTGGTGCATGAATGACAGTTGCGTTTATTTTGAAGGAGTGGAGCTGAGAACTAGACCACGCGAAACATTAAAAACCAATCTGTATGCCAAGAATCTTTATAAAAAAATTTCTGCCTAAGATCACCATTAGAAGTAATGCGCAGTGCCTCCAGAGTGTGATATGAATCAGGGAAACAGGAAGTTATCCCTCATGCTCAAGAACATCTTGTTCTGTCATGCACAGCCGTGTCGATCGTCTAGCTGAGGAGGTTTCGTCCAAAGTCACCTGTACTCAAGAGAATGAGTGTCAGCCACCTTTCATGGGCCGCCATGGAAGCAGTACTGCATCGCTAATCGGGGTGGGCCACTTGCACATCGGCCGCCGCAGATTGCCAGAGAACTCGACTACCGTGAAGGTGTCCACTTGATTAATGGCATTGATGAGACTACAAGAAGGTTGCAGTCGCCTTTGGAGTTGCCAAATGGAATGAATGGAGTGCAAGAAAGGAGCTCACAGAAATGAAGATTGCCAACAAAATTCATCTCCTCAGCCTGCCCTTCCTTACTTACCATCCGTCTCTTCAGTGCGATCGTGATATCGTCTCCAGCCTCTCCCTTTAACACTCTGATATCCGTTGAGGGATGACATTGAGTAGAATTTTGTCGGTGCTCACGTCAGTTGGGAGACTTCCACCTGCAGAACACAAGATAGGCGTGACATTACTGAAATAGGGATACAATTCGCCTTCACCTCAGATGTTTATAGAGTCTTGCAATTGTGCCACATTCTTCTGCACTAAAATCGCCTTGATGCCTTGTTGTCTTAGACCCCAGACGTCCAATATCTGTGGTAGAGACTACCTGGGCGACGCAATAAAGTTGCTTTCACTCTTTCGCCACTTCCTCCCCTCCAGTCCAGTTAGTTTTAGTCTTCACAAAATGACATTTCAACAATTACATTGAGAAGCCTTGTTAATGCGGCAGTGATTTCCTCATTTTATCCCACTGGAGGTGTAATTTGAAGGCCTTTCTTGAGTACTGAAAATCTGTTTATCTAGCCAAACCTTGTAGGAATTAGTATATTGACTTGAAACACAAATTCAGATATTTTTGGAAAAGGACTTTTCTCTTTCTGTACTTTTAGCCATTCTTGGATGTTTTTAGTGTTTTATTAAGAAGTGAAATTAAACAACACTGCAAATTCAAAATTTAACTTACAGAGAATTACTAATTTAGTGTGGAAAGTGCTTTGGAGGAGTAAAAAATGGCCCTTTGCGTCTGTTCCACACCCCGCCAACTCCGTGCTCCCCAGCGACTTCCGTCCTTCCACCAGAGAGGTGGAGGTGGTATCGCGCACTCACTTCATTGTCATCGTCATTCACCCACAGTATCCAGCTTCGTAACAAACTTTTCTAGGCTGTTAACAGCTGTTGTCGCTTCATTTGTTAATAGCCCTTCGGCAGAACACGGGTCTGGGCCAGTTGCCGCGAGTAGACGACGATTTTAGCCCTTGTGTAAGAGATCAACCCAGATTCGCCCATCCGCCACACTTACCTCTCTTCTGCCATGTTACGACTTATTATTCAGCATTAACAATGCGAATTGTTTCCAATCAGGATCGGCTCGACACCAACGCAGCATCCTGAGTCATTTACAAAGGCAATAGAAATTGCTGTGCTTGGATAGAAAGTGTATTCACTACGCGTAGGTCACCAGCATACCCTGGACGCCATTTTTCTCAGTGGAAGCACAAAGGCGGAGCAATAAAGACCGCGAAATCGAAACAAAGAGCTAAACAGGCGGTCGAGGTGCTGCAGCCACTACATCTCCCCAAAACGAAATCCCACGATTGGAATTACATTCTTAAAAGAGACTACTTAAGTAATCTCCATAATATTGAGTTAAAAGGGGAGAGAAAATTCCTATCACCTATCATCAGGTTTTTCTCATGCAAAAGGTTCGGTATTTTATGAAATGAGTGCCTTAATAAGGGCGCTGCCACACGTCGTAGTATAAATGCGAAAAATTTCGCGATTCCAGCATTAAAACTATAGCCTATATTTGTTTATTTGCCCCTGCATGCGTGTTCGTGTGGCTCCAATGTCTTCTACCACGTGTGCCAGAGCGAGCGAGAAAACGCGGCAGGTTTAAACCTCACGCGTGCACGCACTGCCCACGATGACGCATAATCGGGTGCGTTCGCACGCACTCGTACACACCTGCGCACTTACCTACGCACCAATCAGCAAGCGGCTGAGCGCCTTCCAGCTAGTTGATTGGTACAGACCTACACGCGAATGAACGCAGCTTGCACTCGGTTCTGCGCAGTCTCATCAATATCTCCCGTGAACGCGCACGTATTTACACAGTCTCATGTTGACTTCATCGCAGGCTATTCCATCCTCTGAATACTTTCAGACCGGTGGGTCTTCGTCAATGCAGATGTTGGAGAGTCGGGAGACGGCCGAACAGGTGCTTCTTTCCTCTCTACGCAAGTTGGACAAGGGAAAGCGGTCGCGAACTGGGCTGGAGTTGAAACGGGGTCTCTTAATAGCATTCACATTGTTCAAAGCGCGGCAAATTCTTTGGCAGTACCCAACACCACTACCACCACCACAAATACCACCAGTTCAACTTCCTCTCGCTTCACATGCCCCCCAGGAGGAGATATACCTAGCCTCTGAGGATTATTCTCCCCTATCCGGTGATCCGTCTATGCTTTCTACGCTTGAGGGCGTGGGAAAGGACTTCAACTCCGACATCTGGCAGCCTTCTAACAATGAGACGGCTACTGTTGACGTTGATGAGGAGGAAGGAGAGGAAGAGGATGATTCCGATTCAGACGACATTGACATCGATGAAGAGGATCCTTTTGACGACTTCGGCTCCCATGAACCCATATTCCCGCCTCCTTTTCCACTTATCTTTCCCGAAGAACATATTTCAGCCTCCTCACCTTCGGTTGTACATACCTCTAGTGGTACGTTGCCAATATTTTCAATGTGGACTTACTCTTTCGCCATGCTCTGTTCACGTAATACTTTGCGATTTTAGGATTAACCAACTTGACGACGGTTGTGCCAGGTAGTGAAGCTCACAGAAATTTCGATCAGAATCATCCCGCCGCCTCAACCCATCTCTCCAACCCCCTTGTCGCGCCTTTCAGTAGCTCGAGAAAGCGGTCTTCAACCGATTCAGATTCCTCAGAAAATCCACATGTCTCCCCCTTGAAACGACTCACTCCAGTCCCATTTTAATTTCCCCCTCCACGACTCCTTGCTGTATCATAGATTTTATCTTGCTGGAGTTACAGGCACACATACACTCATACTGATTTTGTAAATCATTGTGTTCGTTTTCTTCCCACTTTGTTATGCTTGTTTGATGTCTTTCAAAAAAGTGTGCTGGAATGTCACCTGAACGCAATGAGCGTTAAAGTCCATCCACGTGACTACGCCCGGGCTCGGTCGGTGCGCTGGTTGTACTCAAGCGGTTGTGCGAACACTTTGACGTGTTTCATGCTTGCGGTGTTGTTAAATGAACCATTCACCACCACCTTGCACGCTCATGGTTGGTTTGGGTTGTGTTATCCAGGTATCCCGATTTCTCCCTGTCTCCGGCTTGTGTAAAGTTAACCATCTTAACTGTTGTTTTTTAGTCTTGATTATGCAAGTTGGCAGGAGGGACATAGACGAGAAAGGTGTGCAAACCACGCCCGTATCCTTGTGTAAACAAATGCCTACTTCTCGGGTCAGTGGGTGCGAATCTGTCCTACTTTGAGTTTATGAATACTGCGGTCTCCAAGTCTTGCTTATCCACTCGCGTAATCTCCCCATAACTTCAAAACGGGCGTGAGACACTTTTGATGGCCATTTCCTGAAGCGATTTAATTCGGTTTTATTTTTGTACGGAACGAAACAACTATCCAATGGCGAAAAGGCGGTCAGTCCTGACAGATGAATGCGAATTGTGCACGAGAGGGAATCCGTGACCGGCCAACGTCACCCCCAATGACTCAGGCAACAACTGTCAGACCCTGGCTCGTGCGACTATCAGTCACATGATTACGACATGTGTCGGGCTTGACCTCCTGATCAGGTGAAGGTTGAAGTTTTTCATTGGTTCTCTTCGACTGATGAGGTGAGGTGACACCCGGCAATGGCAATCCCGACCAAAATTCCTGCCAAGATCTTCATCTTTTCCCTCTCTAAAGTAAGCACTTTTCCAGAAGAGAAAGGGACTCCTTTCTTAGGTTATTGACTAGGACATGCTATGTTTCAAGCTGTTGCCTCCTCTTCACCTCCTCCTGCCACGCGGCTGCCGATAGCTACCTTAGAAGAAAATAGAACGTTAAGAGATTTTATGAAAGCAAAATTGAGTGACTTCTTTCGGCCATTGATAAGCAAACACTTACTGATTACCAACGCTACACTTTTCAGCACTGTCTCAAGGCGACTTCGACTTCGGGGAGGCGAAGGCTTCAGTCTGCGCAGCTCTATTTCCCCACTTATTTTCTAACTGTATGTTCATTTACGGATTGTCTGGAAGAATGAAAAGATTGCAATCGTTAGGCGGAAAAATGCGGCAGCAATACGGGGGATGAGAGTGAGGGATGTACTAGAGGCGTGGAGGTTCCCTTCGCCTCACTAGTCAGCTCTGAATTTTTTAGTCAAGAAAGTGTTCCGGTCCATTCTCGAGTTGGTTAGAGAGGATTCTGCTGATGAAGTTGAGGTGCTGATTCTATGGTTTGGACACAGGAGTCGGCTTGATTGGTCTCCCAGCGAATGCTGCAATACAAAGCCATTTTACTTCCCCACTCTAGTCCGTTGCTGCTGATAATTTTCAAGCATCCGTTAGATCACTTTCCATGCAGTTGAAGTGAAAGGTTTACCTGCTACTTATTTGACTTCAATCCAATTAAGTCTGCTTGGCTCTTTCATCAGTGTCCTTTCCAACACCCATCATCAAAAGTGGTAGGTCTGTCATCAAAAGAACTACATTCTTCAATTCATTTGATCTGCATGTTACACTTCAACCAACTGCCATTCAAGAGTGCTTCCTAGGAGGGACTCCTTTGCTTCCGGAGTAAGATCCAACGGATACATCAGTGTTGATCACAGGGGTCATGCTCATTCAGACTACAAGATAGGGAAATGCAGTAGGGAAGGCGTACGATGATTAGCTTCGCAGACGCATTAGATCGTATCCTCTGAATTTACAATCAAGAGATGGTGTTATGAGGAGCTTAAAATGCATTGAATTACGAGTACGAAGGCTGCTAATTCGCCAGCATTGGTAGCGATATTGTGTCTACAGCATTTTCAAGCGGTGTCACTTTCATCTGCAATGGCGCCTTACCACAGTCTCTCCAAACGCTGCACCCCAGAACTCTGGAGAAGCTCAACAGCTTAACATTGATGTCCGGCTATAAATACGTGAGTCGAATCCGCCCAACCATCTTATCATAACTTGAAAACACTAAATCGGAAGAAGATGCTACTGATAACAGCAAGTAGCATTGGAAAGCCAACACAAACCTTTGCACACCTCATGGCGGCATGCGCTTTAACAATTACCCTGCACTTTGCTACTTTCCAGGCTTTACTGAGGCGCAGAATCCAGTCATGGTCTTCCTAGGTAGCGTCTCCATACTCTATTAACAACGCAACTTCTACATTCGAATAACACGAGGCACTACATTGGAGGTACATATCACCAGTCCCAGAATTAACACGCAAAGATCTCGAAGAACGAAACTACACAGAAGTCAAGCCATCCAAACGACTTACTTATGAAAACATTGGAAGCGATATCAGCTTCCCTTCTTCTAGTCGTAGGAGAAGGGACAACCTGTTCCTGAGGTGGCATAGCACCGGAATGATTGAGAGACCTTAAGCCTGCAGTTGTCACAAAAAATAAGCTGCAAAAAGTGAAAAAATTACTCAGAATGGAGGAGACACCTCAATTAAGAGGCACCTTCAGCTTCTAAGCTGGAAAACGTGTTTTGAGTTCTGCTATAACTGATGGGTGTTTGAAAGGATTTTGGTGGTGTTGCCACGTTGAAGGTTGGGGAAGGATCACTGGCCCCAACAGACTGAGGGAGAGATTTGTGATACTGCATGGCGTGAAGTTCCTCTTCGACTTGACAAAACCGTAGACTGTTGAAAGAAGTGCAAAAGGAATTGGTCAGCGATGTTGTGAAAACACGCCCAACATGTGGATTAACATCAATCGAACTAGGGTTTCCTTCATTCAAAGCACCTAGCAAGAATTGAGGTGACAACCTTGCGCAGTCCACTTTTTCTGCATAAGCAGCAAGGAAGCTGCAACTTAGAGAAACATTTCCTAGCATTTGGCATTTAAGTGCAGGCAAATTTGTATTTTATTATCTTTTGACTTTACGGAAAAGCGAGTATAAATTTCCCATGAGGCACTGCACAATGTTGGTAGTGTTTTGAAAGTATATTTTGCTCTCTGAGAAGGGAACTAAGTAAATGAACTCATAAATATAAACGAAAATGAACAATTTGGGACATGTAAAAGCACACATCTCTTCTGGAGATCAAAATTGTCCATATCTACGTACAATATAATCCATTAGGATATGCATATTCGTAATCTATTTCTGTTGCTAACCATGAGGTAAGAAAGATTGAGTTCGAATACCCATTTGTAAGAGCTTAATCAAACCGATAACAGCTCAGGATTAGAGGAAATTATTTTGAGTGACTAGCTTTGCGCTCTTAACATTTGTTCGTCATCACAAATAAGGTGGTCAGTGTCCATGCACAGCTGCATCTGGGATGGTGGATAGGTGGGAGGAATGTACGTTTGCGGGACTGCAATAAGAAATTCAGGTCGTAGTGCCTTGCGCCTATCTGCGTGTGCGTGTATGGGCTTACCAACTATTTTGACGGAGCAGATCAAAATTTCACCAAGGTGACCCTAATTCCGACGTTAGTCATCAGGCCTGCACTCTGCGCAGCCTGTGCTAGAGCATAAAATTATCTTCAATTGTACAAGTTAATGTGGGCTTAAAGAAAATAAGGAGAAACTAAATAATTCGTGGACTAAGTTGCCTACCGACATCCAAAATGACTTCCATTAGGAGGTTGTTTAAAACATCAGCTATCTTAAAGTAGGTCGGAGTTTGAAAAAAAATGTTAATCCCAAAAATGTTACTGATTTCACTGATAGCAAAACAGTCAAAATATTGACATAAACGGACTCGCCATGTTCTTATCACTTATTTGTAGTGTTACCCGTGAATTTCGAAACACAGGACGTTGACTATCTTACAGTGTTTGTGTAAAATTATTGTAGTACTTTGCTTATTTGACTACCATTATGAATGGCGATCGATTTGGCAGACTTCCCGTTTGCCAGGAAAGTTGGGGCTCAGACCAGATCATGGACCCGCTTCCGCCTGAACACAGGAATCCTGTCATGCCTAACATCTTCTACTGGCGAAAGAGAAATCATGGGTCCTTACAGCTAGACTCTATGGCAGATGGACAGTAAGGGCCATTCTTGTTCTCAATGAAAATTCCAACGGCTTAAATAAGCATCGCTTCTCATCCTCTTCTTTCTTCATCTCATTCTTCTTAGAAGAAGGATAGTTTGAATATTTGTTAGGCACTGCTTTGTAGCTAGTGTCAGAGGTAGGAGTACATCCAGGGTATAAAAGTTAATCCTTGTTGGGATCCTCGCACTTTATCTGTACTACGTTTGAAATGAACTCGCGCCTTTATCCTACAAAGCAAAATTTAAATAACCAATGTGCCACACCTTAAAATATGTGAATTTTTCTTGCCACAACGTTAATAAAACAACGGATTTAGGGTGCAAAATGGTATAAGTTGTCGCCTATCAAATCGACAAAACAAAAATAATTTTATGGACTATGTAGGAAAAAGGAACTCTAGAATTACCGCAATGCGAAAAACGAAGTACATACGTTTAACAATAGTTTGTAACCAATGTCAGAAAAGTATTTTAACATTTGACACGTTAAGAGTAGTTTGAATTCTAAGTGATTTTATGAATTTGTAGGCAATTTTACTTTAATTTAAAAATTTGTTTGAAACGCCACCAAAGATATAAAACGATGTGTTTTAGTAGCTAGTCAGCTGATAATATCCGCCATTAGCTGGGTTGACAATGAGGTTTGCGTACAAGCAGGAGAGGACCTTTGAGCAGCGATTACAGGAGGGCAAAAAAATCAGTGAACGGTATCCCAGTTGCGTTCCCGTGAGTTTTCTTTGTATGGTTCTTCATGTATAATTTTCATCCTTAGAAGAAACTGCCATTTTCAAGATTATTCTCTGGTGTATTCTTATTGAAAGCTTTTGCTCTGTTAGGTTATTGTGGAGAAGTCCCCTCGGGCAAATGTCCCAAATCTTGATAAGAATAAGTTTCTCGTCCCCATCGATTTGACTGTCGGTCAGTTTTACTATCTTATTCGCAAGAGAATTGAACTGAAACCAGAACAGGCACTATTTTTCTTTGTCGATAATTCGATTCCACCCACAAGTGCTACAATGGGTGCACTGTACGAGGTTTGTGGTTCTCCAAAATTTTGTTAAGGAATTGCGATTCATATTGTTTCCTGACTTTATTACCCTGGCGTGGTTTCGCTGCTGGAGCAATTAGTGGTCCTGCAACTTATTTGCTGTTGTTCCTGTTTTCTTTTTGATTTTGCGAAGATTCAAAGGTTTTTTGTTTTAGGAGTATCGTGATTCTGACAAATTTCTCTACATTGCCTACAGTGATGAAAGTGTTTACGGGTAAATGCGGTGATCGATCGATAATGTGATCCTACTCCTGCTTTGCTTTCATCTACATCACTTACACCTGAGTGATTAGATATACATGCGGTCTCCAACTCTGCCTACATTTTTAATGATTCTGTAAAATGTACATAATATCAACGACATCTTTGTTTTAATCCATACACATTAAAGAACCCCTAAAATAAATGTCATGTTTTTAATCAGCTTGTGCTTATTTGTTGTCTTATTATTATTCTCGTTTGTGGGAATGTTTGTGCTATCAACTGACAGTAGTCCCATTCCCTGGGAATGTTATTGACACTATCCTATGCACAATTTTTTACCTTTGGTTGCAGTGTGGTTCATTTATGTGGTAACAAACTTCCTCCACTTATAGCATCCGAGTTCTCCCATTTGGTTGTTTTGTAGGGGTCTCATCGAAGTGAATAGGGAGGGATTGCTGTCATGTCTTCTGACTAAAGGCTTATGATCTCTAGGTTCAGGGTTTTAATGAGTACGAGCTTTTGTACTTTGTACTTTTTAGTTCCGTTAATATTTTTGTTGGATTCTAACTTAGTCGTTACTCAGGTAAAGTAGTCAAGCTACGGTGCGCTTGAAACTTGTCTCAGGAAGGCTCCCAGTAGTAATGAAGGTCATGGGTACGTTTTGTGATAAAAGCAGGGATTGCGTCATGGCTTTGTGAGGTGTCGGAGTTGAGTCCCTTGGAATCGAGGCCATTTGGGCTAGTTTTTCTCCTAGAACACTCAGATGGCAGGTTTGTTACGTCTGCATTTCCAGTTGTCATTTCAATGTCGTCAAGCGTACCGGCCTCGAGTGAGATTGAGTCGCTACGGAGTTGGATGGAATCCGAGGCGCTTATTGTGCCGGAGGGCTGGTTGGAGGCCTGTCTAGAGTGGCTGTCTGACCAATCGGACGTTATGATGACATTTCAGCAGTTGAAAGAAGGAGTCTATCAGCAGTGGCTTCATTCCGATTTCAACCAACTTGAATGTCCTATTTTGCCCGATCAGGAATCTGTGATGAAAGAAACGCTTCTCCTAGAAGGAGAACTGTGTCTGCAGGTGAGGTCATTCAATTTTGCAATCTAAAAGCTTATCTCCTTCCCAATCATTCCATAGATAAGTGCTCTGATAAAGATTGGAGAATCATATTATGGTCAGATACGAAGATTGGAAGGCAATTTGGGCAACGATGTGCCCGATTTGGAGACTGATAAAGAGTTAATTGATGACGTTGAGGCGACCTCCATTGATCCATCCTTTCAACTCTCCAACATTGGTAAGTGAATTTTTTTGGAGGCTTGAATGTCCCGAAGTTAGTCCCATTCCTTTCGGTCCGAAAGCTTCATTTTAAATCGAGTTCAAATGCTACGTCACTCGTTTCTGTTTTTTCTCAAGGGTCCGGTCCCCAACACACCAAGCACTTGTGCCTGAGTAACCACCGCGTACTATATAATTGTTCTTATGATTCCTTAATTGCACGAAGACTGCACGAAAGCATGCTGCTCACAAAAGTTAGAACCAAATAGGCATTTAAATGTGCGCTACTCCTTAACCGTCATTAAATTTGAACCGCTTCGTCAGATTACCAAAATTGAAACGATGGGAATTGGTTAGTCCGTGACGCTCAGTCTTTAATGGCTCAAATACGGTTTTATCAATTTTGCGTCTTACACTAAATGAGTTCGTGTCGGTTGCCTCATCTCAAGCCTACGTATCTCTCTGCAACGATCTTTTTGCAGTCAAATAGCTTTCTACCTTCATTGGCCGTGTGACTCCTTTTCTAGGAGGTAAGGGGTGTTGCTGTTTGTCTCCTCTTCCCTTACCCATCTGTTTTTAGGTCATCGCCCTCATGACACGCGAATGACTCACTAAAACCGCTACCATTCTTTTCTAGAATGTAGCTTCTCCGCTAACGCTGCAATAGATTCTTTAGTGCGCCGTCTGTGTGGTGTTGTTGATAACACGTGAACTCTACACACATGACAAACATGCAGTATAGTTAGTGCCACTTGTCTCAGCACTTCAATGTTTGCTATTTCGAGGTGATTTCTGAGTCGGTGTACTTGCGAATAAGCAGCAGTTCTTAATTCTGTCTACAACTCGATGCTTAAAATTTCTTCGAAAAGTAATTGACTAAAGGGTTACAACAACCTACTTAACCAATATTTAGCTATGTGACTATTTCATGTGCTTAGTCTTTTTAATTGGGCATTAGATTCAAGGTTCCCTCCTGCCTTAAATGCTTCACCATGATTGAGACCGCCGGAGACCAGTAGTTGGTGATGGGATGACATTTCAATACCCCATGGACACTAACAGAGTCTCAGATGTTGTTTCGAGTGTCGGTTATTCACAAACTGTTCGATCAAACCACAGTTTTGGTGCATCCACAACTTCGCTTTTCTTGCTTTAATTAGCAGGATTTCTTTCAGCTCTTCATTCTCATGTCTTTTATTGGTTTTAGCTAAATAATTAATGCTAACCTTGGTTGCATGATCTACATCTGGAGGCCTTCGATGGTATTATTCACCATTACCTCATGCTATTTACAAATCTAACAAAGGTCATAAGACCTCACGTTACGACAACCACACGACGGTTCGGCCAGTACGCATTGCCGACGTTTTTGAGTCACGTTCCAAATGTTGCTAGCTCAAATCCCCAACATGGATCACTTTTATGCGCTATGCTCTCAACTGGGATTTAGGGCTTTAGTGTAGACTGACATTACCTCCTCCCCTCCCCCTGATTTGCTCGAAGTGATGTCTCCACTACCTTTTTGTGTCCCGTTAACCAGCGTTATCGAGCTTTGTCCGCACTGTCTAAAGTTCAACACCTAGTTCTTCCCTTTTTTGCCATGGTTACTGACTTCGATGTGTATGTGTGTGCATGTGGGTTTGACTGACAAATCGAGGATACATTTAAAACGCAGGCTTGATTATGCCGCAGTATGTGTAGTAACTGCCTTGCTACTCTTAATATTATAATGGGTGCGCGTTTCCCATGGCTAAGCAGCAAATACACCTTGTATCTACCGCCTATCTTACAATGCTAGTGATTTCTTGACGTTAAAAATGAACCTCTTTGGTCCATTGCAGTATCAGTCGATTTTCTACATCCATTTTAAGAATGGGATCTTGTAAATGCCTGTCAAACGTCCATTTCGATCAATTTCAGCGCTTTTGGACAGACCACGTAGAATTTCAGTCAGATTTGGTTGATTACATCCAAATTGTGCAAGGGTGATGGACTGATGATAGACGATTTGTGTGCATCTGAATTCCACATTGACATGCAGCAGTTTCAAAATGAGTCATGTTACTTCGGGAAATGATTGTTTATAAACCTGCTGAAAGGTGGAAGGACTCTGGGCCTGACTAGATGGTATGATTCCAAGTACCAAAGATCAGATCAATGCTTTATTACTGAACACTGACGCAGTTATGCATCTTGCATTACGAGGCGTAGATATTGAGGCTACCGGCAGCTTTACTCCGCAGAATATCTGTGCAGCTGTTGAGCAATTAAGGTAGCAAGTCGGTTATGCACGTATGCATGTGGTAGTTTTGTTATTACTTCTTCCTTCAAGTCATTTGATCAAAGAAGGTGCCTAGCAGAGGACGCTTTGAGCATGGGTAGCATAAAACAGGCTCCCAAATTGTCCAGATTTATGGTGGATGGGAAGTCGTTGCCACCTCAGGAATTGGTGGAATCTCGTTGGACATGGAGTGTGTAGGCCGATAGGTTGCCAATTTGTAAATTCCATGGTAGCTTTGACAACAATCCTCGATGTGCGACCATTTCGGCTTAAAAATTTTACCAAGTGCTCCAATCGTTCGTGAATGTAACATGTAGGCGGGGGAGAACTTAAATTTTGAAACTAATTTAGCGATTTTTTTAAGTTCTAGTTTGTTTCATTCATGTGAATAATCTGATTTTCCTCACCTTTTCGTCCCAACCATCACCGTATCCCTTAATTGTGTCGATTGTAAGGTGTTTCAATCTTCATTGCAGTTTTATGAGCTATTCCAATAAGATTGTTGACTTTTCTATCGAAAGTGTTCTCTAATCACTACTACTATCTGTCACTCCTTCCCATTGAAACACGACCCTATTTCCTCCATTGCATTATTGTCAACCGATCCTTGTTCCTCAAATAAAACAACTTTCTATCAGTCACCTCTTAACTCGTCTCATCTTTATTGCCTCCCCCCCCCATCTATTTCGTGCCTTTTCATTTCCTATAAGACGTCGTAGTCGTTATTTGAGGTGATCTGTGAAAGGAAGGGGCTAATATCCTCTCCTCATCCCCAAGTGCGGGATGAGACCTTTCAACTAGCAATTTTTTTGAGACTTTGGGTCTTGTGTTGTCCTGTACATTGGGGAGGGAAGGGTTTCTTCCTCTTTATGTACTGACTTGCTGATGAAGATGAAAATGCTTGTCCTAGTTGTATTGAGTTTCATTATACTGATTGACTCTTAGTTCCACCTTTTTCTGTTACTTCAACGTATCGGGCTGTGTACTGCATACACTTACTCCTCATACAGTCTTGGGTTGGTGAAGTGGTGCTTCCTTCAAAATTGAACGGCAAATAGTGGGCGGATCATCTTGGCAATGCTCTTGGTATCCGTACTTTGGTTCCCTTTAAGACCTTCATTTGTCCTTTTTGAATACCTCAAATTCATTACGAAATCAGCCATTTTATTTATCCGTATTTTGCCTTACGACTCCACAGTTTTGTATTTCTTGTTCTTTGTTGAAATTCTTTAAGCTACCCAATCCTCCTTTCCCTCATCCAACCGGTCGACCCACCTACAAAACACCAATATTTCAACGTATGCATTACACCTCACGGACGGTGTGCGTACCATCAAAGCCATTGAAGTAGGATCAGCATATTCAGCGACAAGGCCCTCTCCAGAGGAGTGGTTTCGGATAGGTTCTAAAGTGAAACTGAAAGGTCCATTGAAATTGCGTAAGGGCGTTTTACTACTTCCTAACGGGACCATCTCCAATCCTGCTGTCACTGCTCAATTACCAAATTCTCAGTGTTGCTTTTTGGGTGGCGAAGTGAGTCTTCTGCGTAATTGCGTTCGAAGCATGTTCCCATGGATTGTCTGAATAATCTTGAGTACTTTTAGCGTTTCTGCTCTTCTCATGCCCATCTATTCTTCTATTTCCACTAATTTTACCTGTCAGCGGTTGTATAAAATATTTTAGTATCTGCGGAAGCTTCCTATTTTGTGAATGCCTTGATGGCTTTATTATTGCAGTTTCCCCATCTATTACTAATATCGGAACAATATATATCGGATAATGCTACTCATTTATTAAGAGTAGGCGGGGAAAACACGTTTTTATGGGAAAGTTGCTAGGAGATTGCGCATTTATTTTTTGCTGGATTTTTGTGGACTCGCAAAAGACATATTTGCGCTTATATGTCCAACCTACATTTATTTCCGTGACGGCTGTCATTGAGTCCCACATACATGGTGTTCCAATGTTTATTACAGATAGGTGAAGGCGTAGTACTTGGATTAAATGCATAGGCTTTTGGCATGGCTCGGAGGTCAGCCCATTTGGCAGAGGTAATATAGCCACTCAAGTGCTCTTAATTGATACCGATAGTCAAACATGCAAAGTATTGCAGACTCCCTCATTGCTTTTGAGCGACACCCTCCAGAGCTCACCTTGATAACCCCTCCGAACCAGTCATCACAGCGTAATTGGTGCTGAAAGGAAGCATTCATGAGCCAGCCGCACCGGTCACAAACTCATGTTTGGCCGAGAGAAAGTAATAGGTCGAAACCTCACTGTTAGTTCCTAGGAGATTCAGTTGGATTCAGGGTTTTCTTTCAGTTTGAAAACAGAATTTGGAGGCAAGAAAATCCTGGCTGGACGTTCGAAAGCTGGTCTACAGACAGATTTATAAAAGAGTGAGGGAAATAGCACATTTACATGGGAATAGGATTTCGAACGGTAAGGCGAGCTCCGAATTGTGCCTGTAACTTGCCGTCAAACATGAGAATTGGGTAGTGCTGAAGCCAGACGTCATTCTTAGCCTTCTCATCGTGAGGAAATTGGAGATTCTTCCGTTTGAACCATGTGCGCCCCAGTCATTTTGAACGTTGGAGATCAGGACAGAAGTTGTTCTGAAGAGGGCCTGATTTCCGCTGGCAAAAGTGTAACATCGTACGGCTTCTTTATCGACAAGAGTAAGCAGTGATTGGGTCTAATGCAAGTATTTGACAACCGGAGAGGGGTGGAGCTTCTGGCACCTTTCAAGGGCCCAGACCGGTAGTCAAAATACGATAGTTTTTCTGGTTATATAGACGTAGCAGCATTATCACTCTCATTCTTCCTCTCCTTAGTACGCTTCTCACGGGTGGGACGTAATTCAGAAAGAGAGGAAGTGTTTATTCCTAGTCCTCACCTGAGAGTTTCTCCTCTCTGCTATCAAGACTTTGGAACTGATACTCTAGTTTCTACCTACAAAGCACATTTAGGCAAATTATAAGTGTTATAATGTAATATGCATCATGCTCGTAAGAATCCCATATTTGCGTACTTGGAGACTATATTTGCATTCCTTGGAAGAATAAGGCTGTGATGAGAGATAGACAAATTGATCCCACCAAGGTCACATGCACTGACTCAGCATTAGGCATTGGAATTGAAGGGCTGTTGATTTGTTCCATGACTGTTTGTGCATGCATGCCCTAAAATTCGATTTTTGTGGTTTTTTTTCCGATTTGAGGCTTGACTAACTGCTAAATAGTGTTCGATGTGAGGCAGGATGTCGGTAAGAAAATAGATAAAGCTACTTTCGAATGGTTCACTCATCACATATTGCTTGCTTCCAAGGTGGATATCATCTTACCTGTCTCTGGTGTGGGGTTCACTACAAACTCAGACGTTCACTCGTTAGGGTCCAAAAGCAATGAACAATGAGGCCTTTGGAGAATAAACTTCATCACCATCGTCGTTTTCTTGGTTCACAGCCGTGGACATTGGGTAACCCATAGGAAGGTCTTAGGTCTCAAAACTGACAGAAATGGGGCTCTTACACTACACTGGAGGATAGTTAGTAGGAAGTGGGATACCGTTGCCTATTCTCTCCCTTAGTCTTTTTCATCATTGTAGTTTTTTACAAATGAAACGAATCGCCAGGAATTGGGCAGTCGGGAGAGAACGGTGAGGTTAAATAAGGGGTGATGGGGTGGAGGCGGCTCTGGAAGAGATTAGCAATGGATAGTAGACTGTACTCAAATTTGTTTGAAAGGTTGATATGGTTTGTACCTTTCATATGGTTAGCAGAATGTGAGTTAGGTTTGTCAACGCCACTTTCAGTTTCAATTGGCTTGGTGAAGAAGTAGAAGGAATGCTTAATCACAACGATGGTGGAAGATTTAAGTCGTTTTCTTCACTCTTTACTTACCTTCAGGTTCAGTTTGAGGAGGCTGGAGAGAGGAGAATGGAGGCTTTTCTGCAACGTGAGCTTTTATTAAAACTCAACCTTTCACCCGACAATCCTCCGGAGTGGTTTCCTGGTCAGCGACATCTCTCCACGTCCACTACCAAGGCTACTGCCAGCAATGCGACTGATAATATTGCTGGCAGCACTACTGACGTTGTTCCCCAACCTCCTGCACGACCTGTTGAGGACAAAAGGAGAGAGGAAGGGGATCTTTATGATGAAGACGACCTTTTGTTGACCTCTGCAGTGGAGGACTTTGAGAGTCTGGTAGCCGCCGCTGTTGGAGATGGTAGGCATTACTAATTCTTTCTTCCTGTCGTGAACAATTTTGTCGATCTGATTTCGGCACTTAATTTTTGCCTCAAGCCTCACCCTTAGCACCATTGATAGGCCTCTAGACACCGGTACTGAGGATGGTTTACCGATTAACATGCTCAACGAAATATCGTAGAGATGTCTCTAAGTAGTAAGCACTTCAAAGGCAGTAATTTGCTGTTCATTGACGGTTATTCTGCTGATAGCTCACACTATAGTCACGATTGCTCAAGGTGCTTAGTGCTCACTTCGTCTTAGATACTTGGTCTACACACAATCCGTTGTGCATCCAAATCACACATTGGTGAATGGACTAGTTTATTATGAATAAATACAACTCCAAATAGTTATTAGTGATTCCCATGTTACGATAGGCAAGCTTTTCTTGGGAGGTCCAGCTGTGATAAAGACTAGCCTGACATTGTCAATAACGATGATCTCATTCTTCACAAGACACTGCAAATGTTACCTTAAGAACCCGTTTCAATTGTGTGAGTGAGAAAAGAGGTTTGGAGTCAGAAAGCATCGCTTGCTTCACATTTCTATTTAGGTGTCTTAAATTCCTAAAACTTTACACTTTCCCACTGTCACATCTACACTCATTATGGGTGCTGCCTCTTTTGTCTTATCTGCTTTTAACTTTCAAGATGTTGGAAGTGCGACTGAGATTTAATAGAGTGGTGTTGCTAAGATCATTATGCAATACTTTTCCATTTTTGTCAACCAACTTTTATAGTAGTCATAATTGTTCCCAATGAGGTGGTTTTTGAATGCCACTTGGGTGTTTTCATTAGCAAATGTTTTGAACCGAATCCCACTTGCTAAGGCTGTGCACATCTAGTCACAGCATTGCGGGGAATATTCGACAACTTGGCAACTGTTCCGACGTATCTTGTCAAAAAAACAGCAGCACTTGCTGGCACTGCGGGACCTGGCTGCCCTCCTCATTTCAACAGGTCTAACAGTCGATTAACTGCTCACCTGACAAATATACACAACTGAAATCAAGACTGTCGTGGTTTGGGATACCGCTGCTTTTCTGCAGTACCTCCTCCTACAAATCTCCTATCTGTATGATTCAGTTCTGTGCGTTTCCTTATCCTTACTAGCTATGTTTATAATCACTTTGGCGTCCACAGTTGTCTGAATCTGTGGCGGTAGTGGTAGATGCGTGGATCACTATCCGTGAGTTTGTCATCCTGACACATATACACATGCCCACAGTATATTCACCGTCCCCCAGGAGACTGCTTCTTTGCTCCCCGTGTACTTCCAAATAGCAAGTAGTCGACTGGCCAGACGGTAAAGGTCTTAAGATATTTGATAAAACAGACCTCATTCTTTGATTCTGCTAGAAATTTTGTTAGGTTTAGAACCTAGAAAGTTATGAATAGGGTAGTTTACATGTTCTCATGCTAAGCTAGCTGACTCTTATTTTGTTCATCTACTCTCATCTGATGTCTTTGTTTACTTTGTAGAGAAGAATAAAATGTCTGTCACGAATTGCATTTTGTCCCTCTAAAAGCCATTGTATGTGAACATACTTCATTCTCCTCCCTACGCTCACCATGGAATAGCATATAACTAGCTGATGCCACTCCCTACATCTGTGAAACGGTCTTAATTGAGAGACCAAATGGTGCATGCCTGTTACGCGTGGTGACATTTTTTTGAGAATTCTGATGATTCTAAATCTTATACTTAAATTAGTAATTGACAGGTGCATTGGTGTTCGGCGTTCAAAGTTGCCAGTGTTTCGGTAATGCATTTTGATGCATTAATTACCAAGTCTAGTACCTACCAGGCAGCATTTCCTCTCTCTTTTAATGGACAACAACAAATTATTTTACAATTAACAGAAATCGACTTATTTTTTGTTTACAAGCCACCAATTCTCTTCCTTTTTTGGATGGACCTGGTAAGTTCGGAAGTATGGAACTTAACTACAGCAGCCACTGGTGTCAATATGTGTGAAATTCCTTGTGAAATATGGAGGCATTCGTCTCAGCTCTGTAGTGGTAGAATATTGAAACATTGAGAGGCTAGACGATAAGTTTTTAGACAACTGATAGGTTGGTTGAATGCAATATATGCTTGAACAACAGGCAATGTGTGCGTGTGTGCATATGTCAGTGACGACCATAGTGTTAACAGTCCCGTTGTCAGGCCTTAACAACGCGGTATTTTTTATCCTTTGTTCTTTTTACTTACTCTTTGATTCATTCATGCGCATCCGACTCAGCGAAGTTATGGCGTATCTGCTCCATGAAATTTTCCAACTCGTCTTAGTGAGTGAAAGTTTCCTGAGAGGGCGATGAAGAATGCGTAATCATTTACGAATGCGAACATGAAGGATTTGGAAACTTTGAGCCTCTGTGTATTTATCAGTCAAAACCGTTCCTTAGCGGTCCACCTGTAATGGGATATTTGTTTTCGTGGAAAGTGTCTTTGAGGCAATAGTCAAAAGTGTTGAGATGGTTGCACAGCTTAAACAGAAGAAATGTAGGGAGGAATAAACTTAAAAGACTCACTTCAGCTTGGGTCACTTGTAGGATCCCCTTCTTTGCTTCATTAGAAACTACAAATGGAACGACCGCGGGGCAGAAAGAGGAATCTGAGGCTGGAGCTGATGTCCATGAGGGTGAAGTAGATGCCGCTCTAGAGGAAATCAATTTCTCTCCCCAATCCGATACGGGGAGTGCCACCCTTCAGACCAGTTTTCCTCCCAAAACATCACTCGAGCGTTCCTACCTACCTCCTTCTGACTCTGCTATTCATCAACCACAGCCGTCATCGAGTAATTCTCGACGCTCAACACAGTGCCTCCAATCGGACATCCGTCGCTTCCTCACTACTACCTCCGCTCTCCAACCACAGCGACAGCAGCATTCATCCCGCATGCCGCAATTCGCTTACTTGCAAGTAGGTATTAAATCGCTCATTTTGGTTTAGAATGTTTTTGGACACGTATTTAAGAATGGTGGAGACAGAGAAGTATTTTGGTTTGTGTTGAGTTGCAGAAGTGTTATCCATGTTCGACCAAATGAGTATCGAGTTTTCAAAAGCTTCTGGTCATGATCATGTCAATGGCAACTAACAGACTTAAGGTAGATTTCACTTTAAATCGAGTTACTTTCCTTTTACATAAAAATGTGAGCTCATCACTCCTTACTTTTGGTAACAGCCCTTGAAGGGCTCTGCCAAGGAAAGAGCTTTTCAGATACTTTGGCTGATTTGAGTCTGGCAGACGAGCTGCTAAGGCATTGTTCATCTGTACTGTTAGTAAATTAGGCCGCATGAATTGAAAAGTGATTCTCAATTTCTACGGTTTTCTCCACCCGTTTTACAGGATATTTATTACGATCGACAACAGCGACCCGGCGGTGGCAGTGAGGTTCATTTAATACGGGGGATGTTGATAAGCATACAATCACAGCTGGAGCACCACGAAGGCCAACGATGGAGCCTAACAGTGCGTCTCACTGATGGTACTGCAGTCTTAGATGCCGATATGGAGGACGAGCTACTGCATCGTCTCATCGGTCTCTCTGCGCTTGAAGTGGAGGCAATGAAACAAATGGGGCGTAGAAATGACCAGGTTAGCGACTTTTTTAAAAAAATCTGACTGTTGATGAATAAGTAGCTCGATAAGTGAAAAGTTGGACGGCGGACAAATTGATGCTTTATCGAGTTTCTGTAGCGATGAGTAGATAGGCAACCTTGAATGGTTGATTTACTAAACGCTATAACCGGGTTGAATGAGTGCTCTAACGCCAAGTGTTTCTTTAAGGTCTTCATTTTCTGAGATCAGTTAAACCATTGGTAATCCATTCAGCAATTGGATGCTTAAAGGTACATAGGACCTAACATATCTCTAGTATACTGTTCAGGTACTAATTTTTGATAAGATATTTACTTTTTGTCACTGGTCTTGCATGCTTAATCATTTTTAGCCCAATTGAGAGGAATCACTGATGGTATTCTGTTGTGAGTGCCACAAATACAAATATCCTGTTCTTAACCCTGGTAATGGTGAGAAATGAAGATTTTACCATGAATGGGAATTGATGTTGATCTGTGTGGGCATGTATGCGTCCGCTGACTGATTGCTGGAGAAGCTCATGGCGGATCCATTTTTGTCTTGGTATTTGTAACGAGTATCACTACACTTAAGGTCTTCCTCTGGATGATGCTGACGACTTGGAGATTTGAACGTGAACCTTAGCTTTGAGACTTCGAATAAAGGGAGTAGCGCCTTTTCTGAGGTTTGGGGCGTTCTGCTCACCTTTGCACATGTTCTTGTCTCTTATGCTTTCTATTGCACTGAAGGATGATGGCGCAGTAGGTCGCCTTTAGCTTTAAAGGAATGACTAGCTGCTTGTAAACAATTTTGGGCATTTCGGTAAAGGAGCTTGAGTGAAAAGAACAAAACTCTTTAAGGGATGTTTCCACTTAGAATTTTTTTCCCCCATTGACATTTCGTTTACCAAATTCTTTGCGAGCTAATGAGTAGTTTTTCAAGTTTGTGTATATAATCGCCTTATGTGTAAGGTTCGTTTCTTCTGGTAGAGGTGACACGTTTCTTTGGTCACTCTTGGGCCGCCATTCAGCGTTGGGAGGTACTGTCAAACAACGGATCCAGCTTATGAGTTTCTGAAATACCTTGCGTGCCGAGCATCTATATCATGACTGGGCAATCCAAGGAGGAGATAATGCATGTAATGTGGAAGTTATGAGTATACTAAAGCGCCAACTACTTGTCGACGCGTCAGTTTTCGACTAAGCTCCAGTCTCCGAAATTCGAGCATTTGAGTTTTGTTTGTCTTCGCTCTGTAAATGCTTGCATGGTGAAGGTGTTTGGCAGTACTTGTACATGGAAAAAGTTGTATCGTCTCCTCTGATTGCCACAATTCAAGGGACGTTTGCTTCATCACCTTCTTGAAAGCTTCTCCTTGAATAGGAAACCTTCGTTCTCATTTTATTCGGATTTCATACATGCGTAAGAATGTCAACTTCATGCTTCAAATTTTAATAATTCTTGAACCTCAACTATCAAACATTCATCAGCTTTTCATTGTTGATCCTGCAAATTTTACCGTTTTATTAAACTTTCCAGTCATTTTGAGTATGTGCAGGTACTCAACTTTCCACCAGGTGAAAAGTTTATGCACTTTGAAGGGAAAGTCCAGTTGATAATCGTTAGTCGCTAGTACATTGCTTCCAGGAATTGTGGGAGGACGTTTAAGTTGGTCATTGTTAATATTGAACAATGAAAATGATTGAAAGTGTCTGGAGTTAGCATTTGGTGTGTATGTGTGTGCCTTACCCTTCGAACTCTGTTTGAAGGATCCCTCTTTCAGGAGAACTCCGCAAGGCTGGCTGGCACTATGCTTTGAATAAATTTTCCTCTTTCTTTCGTCCAAACGGAAGCGACTCGAGAACTATTAATGTGATACGCTCTCAACCTTGTGACACATAGAATGCAGTACAAGTGAGGGCGGTGGGAGATTTTGTGAGCAAATGACGGCAATGTATGGGCCTTTACTTTTATTAACCGACTTCTACATTGCTGGCTTTATTAAATTCCCATTTCACATAGCAGCAACCTCCTTTTCCTGCACCAATTGCAACGCCATTGGGCAAGTGGTTTTCTCCTTTTTTACTTCCTTCCTTGCTCATTGTCAGGATAGTCGTAAAACCATCCGATCTTGTAGAATGGAATTTGGAATTTAAGTAACAATATGAAATTGATGTTGAAGTTTTGACACCTGACGTTCCCATTGATGTGTTTTAGCTTTAACAAAAAGAAACCATCAAAATCGGTAAATGCATTGTCACCTTATCAAAGCATAGAACAATTTTACCCAAAATTGACAGTTCTCAAAGATAGTAATTCTATTTTTAGAAGGCGATTGTCAAACACAAAGGCGAAACACAACTGTAGCATTGGTGACCGTATTTTCAGAGCTTAGGCTACACAATGAAATCCACCAATCACAGGATCAGCATGCGACTGAGTCCCTCCTTCCTCCACAAAAAACAGCCACGCACAGAATGACATTGACAATTTTGAATGGGGTAATTTTAGGGCTGCTAAAAACAGTTTATTTTTCAGAGTAAGGTTTTGTATAACATCTTTCCGCCCAAAGGCCTCACTTCTTTGATCCCTAAGGAAATCGACCATCGAATGACAAAATTAGCATATTGCCTCCCGTATCCTTCGTACCATCTTTCTTTTTTGACGATTTGTCATTCGAAAACCCAAAAAACATGAGTTTGAACCATGTCTTTGGTGTTGCGGCTTTCTAAGCCTCAAAGAAGGTTATTCGGTTCGCAGAAAGGCATCTGATGTTGAAAGTATTGTGTAAAAAGGTCGTATTTTCGTTGGAAAAGAAGCACTAACTTTTCTGGTACGTAAACCTATTCTGCAGATACTTCTTCCACAGAGATTGTTGGTCCTTTGCCTTCAGTACGAGAGTCAAAGGACTTTAAGGTTATTCCCCGAATTCAGTGATGAGGCGCCTTCGTGTCTCAAAACGGTGGTGTGTGAGGTAGCTCATCGGTGAGTTTTTGGACGTTTGAACTGAATTGGCTCTCCAGGGGAGCTTTAGTTCGTTTCCTTTGGTTGTGAAATGTATATTCCTACTCAGGAGAGGATACAGTGTATAGATTTGCTCCTCTGAACATCTCTTCGTTTAAACGTCTGGTATGCGGAGCGTTCAAATTCTCGGACATGCTTACCGCTAACTTCGCAGCATAATTCTTTAGCAAAGGAGAGTAGCTTTGGGAAGCACTTCCAGGGTGCTTTGAGATGGGGAATTGATGCCTCAAAGACACTTACAGTATGGAAGTTTACTTTACCGCCTTAATCTATTATCTCTCTAATGAATGCTGTGTAGGAAAGCACCATTTTGTTTGTAAAAACGAGCAATTGATGGGAAGGTCGTATTACTGATTGTACGAGACAAAAAACACGAAAAGTTGTTGCATTGACAAGAGAGGTGACTCTTCCGAAATTGATCAGGCTAAAGACGCTAAACTAGATGTGATGCGTCTTCCGACCTCAAGTGACAACTACGAAGTCCCATGCATCATGATTGAACGCGTGAGAAAGTTGCCTTCTGTCAAGGGAAGGGGCAAGAGTTACGACTTTGCTTATAGGATTCTTTTTATTCCTCCACCTCAAGCATTAGAAGCAGGTTACTCACCCATGTATTCACACACAAACAGCTTAGTTTTAGCCACCGCTTTCATCGTCACCACACTTCCTTATGCCTTACTCTCATTTTTCATCGGTCCTGTGATTAAGGGCTTCGTTTCTGCCAAGAATAAACATCGGCTAGATGTATTGAGCAGCGAATATAGCGTAGCATATCCCACCTATCGTAAACTAAGGTCTTTATACGGGTTGATTTTCGTGATGATGTGCTTTTCAAAGCTTGTGGTTCAATTGAACACTTCCAAGTTGATCACAGCTGCGATTGTTAGACCTCTAACCCATCCGGTCGTCGTATTGGGTAACTGGGTCCGCAGAGCACCGTACACTCACAAAGCATTTGTCTTGGTCGTTTGGCTTGCTTGACTAATGACTTCACGTCCCTTCATCCATTGTGAATCCAATCGTTTTGACATGCGATAAGCAATTCTCGACCAATCCCAGCAGCCCCCTTTGAATATAGCATTTAAAGGAAGATACAACCTTTCATACATTCTCATAAGTAGACAGGATCAAAGCAAGTCTTTCGGGTTCATTCACTCTACCTTTTATGGCATTAATGAAGGGTGGAGGCAGAGGCTAATAAGCTGTACCCTCTTGATGGGCCGATTTTCATTTATCTCTACAGGTCGCATGCCTCAGATGTATTACATGGGCCTTTTATGACATTATGTTCCAAACTAAGGAAAGGTCATGGCAAGGATAATAATGCTTTTGCCATTCCTAGACTGGCCTGCATGCCTTTGACAGGCTCATCTGATCACAAATCAGTCCACATAGTTCAACCGATTACTGAGCCATGCCATTGCAACAGTCTGTAATTACACACATCCTGCCCAACCAGTAAATGGCCTCTTCCTTTTTCCTGGAAATACACTTCATGGTTGAATTCAATTACTTTCACCTCAATTCGGCTACTCCCATAGCAAAGGAGAGCAGTACTTGATGGGGTATCACCTGCCAAATTTAGAGCGAGGAGGTTTTTTTATTGGCGAGTAAATGTGTCCGATATAAATGCACATTCTTTTTGCAGTTACCTACTTTTTGATTTTCAAAATGTCTCGAAAATCTCGTCTCTAAAGTTACTGTACATCATCATAAGCATAGCCAAATATGATCACCACCACAGTACTTAAATCCCCCAAAAGCCTTTGAGGCATGCCATTGTCATTACCATGACATTACTTTTTCCCCTGTCTAACCATCCATTTCAGTGGCCTCCCTTTTTATCACCGCAGGGCGTTAATTAAGCGTACCAAGTGTAGTGCACAACTTAAAGTTGTCTACCGAGCTTGCACGATTTGTGACAGTATTTTAACTTGCATTGAAGTTGAGATGACCTCTTCTCCATACTTGGATTAAGAGTCGTCTTCTCTGTGGGTTTATGCGAACTAGACCTCGAGCTTGTG